ACTCAGGTCACAAGTCACAACCCATGTCACAAGTCACAGCTCAGGTCACAAGTCACAAGTCAAGAGTCACAACCCAGGTCACAAGTCACAAATCAAGTCACAGGCCAGGTCACAAGTCACAACGCATGATTGTTTGTTTATTAATCACATATTTTCAAATTTATTGGTTAATTTTTAATCACAAATTGTCCAATTTTTAGGATTACAGTTAATCTAAATAGTTGGTCACATACACCACGACCAACACCACCGCCACCTCCTGCCCAGACCGCCAACTTCACCATCGCAGCCAAAAAATCATTTCCCAAGCTGGACTTAAAAGCAACCTGGATGCCGCACTACAACCGCCATTAACTCATCAGACCGCCACATCACAACCACCGCCGCCACCAACAATACAACATTCACCACCATATCCAACACCCCACAAAAATCACCACAAACCACTGTAAAACGACACAAATCTCACACAGGGAGCTTAGTTCACCATTGCGCAGTGGCGAATTGAACGTCGCTACTAAGGTCAATGGCACTCAAGGCGCCGCAGCTCAAATATGTAGCCGGAGCAGCGACGATTTGAGCAGTTCTCAGCAGCGTCTAACGCCAGCAGCGTCTAACGTCGCCGGTTGTCGAAGTTTGAAAGGGCCGTCGGTTTCTGGAAAGAGAAAAGGGAGAGAAATGAAGAGGGAGGAGAGGGAGAGAAAGAAGGGATAGAAATGAAATAAAATTAGGGTTTGGGTGTGTATAATATTTAATTATTAATTTGATATCTGACTTTTGAAAAGTGAAACCTTGTATCTGAATTTTGAAATTGAATTTTAAAAACTCTTGTTTTGTGTAATTTCCACAACATTTTTTTTATATAGAAAATAAGCAAGACTAGAGAGCTTCGTAGGTAAACTTTCGTTTGGCGATACAATGTGCATTACACAACAAATTGAGGCCTTTTTATCCAAGCTTGGTCCAACACAAGCCTAACAAAGGCTGCTCAAATAAGTGAATTGGGCTTCCCGGAAAGAGCCCATCATTTAAACATGGTTTGGAGTTATTTGTCGAAGCTTTTGATAAAAATTGATAAGCACCTACCTGGTGCAGCTTCTTTTTAAATTAAAATCCAAAATATTTCTGTTGGGAATGGTCAGTGAGTCCCACTCGTGAAAGAATGGGTCAAAAATGTCCTGCTGCAATGGCAAATCGCAGCTCAGATCTGTAGTCGGAGCAGCGACGATTTGAGTCGTTCTCAGCAGCATCTAACGCCAGCAGCATCGGCTGGCATATCTCCTTCGTCGCCGGTTGTCGAAGTTTGAAAGGGCCGTCGGTTGCTGGAAAGAGAAAAGGGAGAGAAATGAAGAAAAAGAAGAGGGAGAGAAATGAAGAGATAGAAGGGACAGAAATGAAATAAAGTTAGGGTTTGGGTGTGTATAATATTTAATTATTAATTTAATATCTGATTTTTGAAAAGTGAAACCTTGTATTTGAATTTTGAAATTGAATTTTAAAAACTCTTGTTTTGTATAATTTCCACAACATTTTTTTTAATAAGCAAGACTAGAGAGCTTCGTAGATAAACTTTTGTTTGGCGATACAATGTGCATTACATAACAAATTGAGGTCTTTTTATCCAAGCTTGGTCCAACACAAGCCTAACAAAGGCCGCTCAAATAAGTGAATTGGGCTTCCCGAAAAGAGCCCATCATTTAAACATGGTTTGGAGTTATTTGTCGAAGCTTTTGATAAAAATTGATAAGCACCTATCTGGTGCAGCTTCTTTTCAAATTAAAATCCAAAATATTTCCGTTGGGAATGGTCTTGAGTCCCACTCGTGAAAGAATGGGTATTTTTACAGGACGACGTTACCGTTTAAATCAATTTCTTCCTCTGAAAAATGTGTTCTTGTAAAGTTAATAAAAATTCAAAACCTTGGCAGCAATAGTGATGACTTGGCATGCACGAACTTCAAAGGTCGTTCCTATCATGGAAGCCAGAGTGTGTTATTGAGCCTTCCGAATGAGAAAGAGAAAAGTGCTTAGTTTCGATTGTGGAATCTCGTGAGATGTATGATTAAAATTAATTGTTGAGTTTGACGTTAACTTTTTTCGTAACAAACACTTAAGCCCCGTTTGATTGAAACGAATTCCATGAAAAATATCACATCCGAAGAAAACAAATTCTACTTTGACTGTTTGCTTGCATCCTTGCAACATGAAAATGAAAACCGAATTTCAAGGTACAACCACTTTAAACTTCATTTTCTTTATTTTCATAGAAAACGAATTCCTATGAGTTTGATAGATTTTTATTTTACAATTAATATGGAATTAGAATTCATTTCCACATTTACCTATCAAATGGACCCTTAGGTAAAAACTTAAAAATAGACATTTTGTAGGTTCAAAACAAGACCTTTCTAACAATTATTAATTTCTAGTAGTTTTTTTTATTATTATTTAAATTATTTATTTCTAGTAGTAGTTGGTTGTTCTACGAATTATTTATTTAGTTATAATAATTTGTTATCATAGTTTCTGATATGGTCATTTTTTGATCAATTCAGAACAACAATGCTCGAGGTTGTTCCTGTCATCTTGGGAGTTTCCCATGGTGCCCTCCTCGAGCTTAATTGTCGCACGTGACGACTTCACGTCATCTCGGATTTTTACCTTTGTCTCATTCTCTATTTCAAAAGATATACTCTAGTAGAACTCTACTTCCATCTTTAAACTTATCAAATTCCAATAAGATTGGATCCTAACTAGCTTACGACTCTTACTTACATTGGAATACTCAAATCTTTTACATCTCTTAAACAGATAAGGCTTCAAATATCCTAATTATATTAAGAGTGTGCTACTTACCTCTATAAATACAAGTTCTAATTCATTATTTATATATATTTTTTTATATTCAATTTATAGCTTTACGCTTATATTTTCGATTTTCGCTAAT